ATCTGCACGCATGAGCTTGTCTCTTCACCTGTGCGTGTGTACACCAGTGTATGCTTATGTTATTTGTTCCGTTTTCAGTCTGTTTTAAATATGAGTTCAAAATATGATTTATGATAGCAACCTTACTGTGATCTTTGCTGGTGTCTAGGCCTTGTGTCTTATGTCAAAAAGGAAGGGAGAGCTTCACTTTTTTCATTCTGTTTTAATGTTCTCCGCCTGCAACTCCCTCAATATAATGAAGAACAGGAATCTAATACAGTACTGCAGAGTGTAAAATTTAGAGAAAGATAAAATTCTTAGGTATTTTTCAGAGTTTGTGAACTATACACTGCAATGTGGAAGGATGAAAATCACACATCTGATTTATACACCTGCTATTAAAAATCAACAGATAACTCCAAAATACTGTATATTGCATTATTCTTTGTTTTCAGTTCAGATGAAAACCTTGACGGTACAAAATCAGTGATTTAACAACTTACTTTTTTTCAGAAAGGGTACTTTTTAGCAAGGAAAGACAAGAATGAGTAATTTAATGCCATCTGAAATACATCGTGTTAATACAAGGTCTTAAGTCAGTCCAGATGGCTGCAGATCAAGAATACCAGACAAAACTCAGCCAACTCTTTCCATAAAAGATCCCTTTCTTTTGTGGGTAATCAAGCTCGCCTTGCCAGTTGTGCAATAAGCTTGCCTCTAAAAACCAAGGTCTCTTTTGCCAAGAAATTTTGTGCATCTTGACACAAGAACATCGGCAAGGAGCAGGGCTGGTGGTGCCCTGATGGCCCCAATTGGGGGCTGCTTGGAGTGGGATGTCCTCTCCCCTGCTCAACTACAGCAGAGCCCCCTAGCACTGATGGAGGTGTCTGCTCTGGTCTGGAAATCAGCAGAAAAGGAGCACTTACGGGGAAGGTGGGAGCGATTCTGTCCCCCTCAGGGTATTCAGAGAGAGCACAAAGTTAGTTTTGTGTATTAGCTACTTCTGTACAAAATTTTTGTTGTGAAAATTTAAGTAAGTTTTAAGAGTACGGGCTTCTTTCAACAAGGTACCTTTGCTTCAGCTCTACTCATCTGGAAGACGTGTGTGGGAAAAGAGGCTACAACAGGAGGAAAAGTGTGTGGGTGTCATGTAAAACAGTGGCTACAGGAGAAGAGTAAAATTATGTGCAGACAAATAAAGGGCTTGAGATAGAGGAAGAGAAGGGTACCTGCTTCAACTGTTTTGCATGCCCTGATAAGACAAAATGGATGTATTAGATCTAAACTTCTGTAGTGTTTTACTCCTTGACTGGTTCAGTTTTTCTGAGTAGGTGAAAATCATCGTAACATACTGATACCACGGGTATAAACCTGTTGAACCTTAAAAAAAAAAAAGGGCAGGGAGGTACTTTTTAGACATACTCTGATTAATGCTGCCTTTGTAGAGCGTTTGCTGTTGATCTGTCAAATGTTCAAAATCAAAACTATAACATTATGTGCAAAGAACATTATATTCAGAAATTGCCAGGGGTTCTCAATGCTGAATGCTATAGGGGCATCACGTTAATAAATCAACTCAATTTGTAAATGCAGGCACAAAGCGGTGTGGTAGTAAAAAGACAAACAAGCATTTGAAGACATGGAGTAAATAGGGGGAAAAAACAGCATTATTATTTGTAATAACAATATAAGCTCCAAAATGACAAAAAATGTCTAAAAAAGTGGCCGAATCTCATCTGTAGCCATGTCCTCCAAAGTGTTTTCATTTTATTAACATTGTGTGCTGACGACAGCAACAGGGCCTGTGAACTCTTTTCCTTGTAAAAACGTCTGGTTTTTTTTTAATATGACCTTAGCTTTGGGGTTTTAATACTTAATTTAGGAGTCATTCAAGCATCCTTCATTCTGGGAAGAGCAGCAATGTATTCTGTTCTAAACATATGAATATATTCAAATTTAACTAACTCCTTTATCACACCAGTGAGGATACAAATTAAAAGAAATATTATTTTTTCCAGTTCATGACCTGAAGTATTTCCTTTTTGTGTAGAAACATGTTAAAAATAAAATCTCCAGGCAAATAACATCTCGAGTTTGACCTACTGTATACTTTTGTTATGCATTCTTGAATGGCCCAACATAAATGCCTAAAGGCAGAAATTGAGGTCGTAAGGGCAGTCTTTGACCAGTTACCTTCTAATGTCCGAGTTTTGACATAATAACAGTAAAAGTAGGATTTTTGTACAGTCCTATAAACATAATATTTATCAGTGCATTCTAATTTGGAAGGTAACTAGTTCTCAGTGGGGAAAAATGTGAGAGACTGGATGCAAACGAAATAGTGTGTTTTCAAAAGAAAACAAATGAATTGTTAATATCTTGCTGGCTTTAGATCACATCACTCTTCAGTAATAATATCTCAGAATATACATAAAAGCAAGATACAAAAGATAGAAAAAAGACAAAGAGGCAATAAAGCTCTTGGAAATTTATTAGACAATATCAAAGGTAAAACTGTCTAAACATAAATTAAACTTATAATAATATGCATTTAGTGCGTTGTATTCAATTTCCAACTCAAGAGCAGGCTTTTTGTATTTGTACGTGTTAAACTTTTGGTATAATGCTTAGGCTTTCAAGTACACAATTTAATAGTGCCCCGGCCAAACAGAAGGTGATTACTGTGTTATTCAGTAAATTGTAAGAATAGAAACTGTAGTTAAAACACTAAAACTTCTCTTGACAAGGTTGATGTCAACAGCAGTCAGAGTCACAAACCATTGTTAGGCCTTCCAAACAGAACAGCTACATTCCATACGGATAATATTATTGTTTCCTGAAGGAGGTGTTTGCCTGCAAAGCCAGCCCGTTGTGTCAAGCCTGAATGCTACTTCGAGAAATATTTTGCCAGCTCTTCATTCCAGCAGATTCTTCTCAATCTGCTACATGCAGAGCAAGTTTATACTTTTTTGGCAGGATAAGTCAAACAGTTTGCTTGGGGAAAAATCCAAATTTTTTTTGTCTCCATGTAAAATGCCTGTTATCTCTCTAGTCTGAAAAAAACCCACAAAACAAACAAACTAAAAAAGCCTACCCAGTCACCACCACTAATTTTGTTGTGGTGTGGCAATTAACTTCTGGGTTTTAAGTCAAGTTTAAATTTTAGGTTGATTAGCCTTTCCAGTGCTATATTTCCAAGCGAAACGAATAGAAATAAATACACAGTTAGGGGACTATACGGGAGGCTAGTTTTGGTAGCAGCACTGGCCCCCTCTGGATGGGTAAACTGTCTACAAGCTTACCCCACCGTGGCAAATGTAGCCCCTTGCCACGAAGGAGGTCATGTCTCCTTTGTTAGCAGACCCTTCTTTGCTCCACTGGGCTTTCTGCACCCACGCAGATTAGATGAGATAACATTTCTGACATTTGGACACTTCGGACACAAATTTAACACCAGTTAGGACAAAGGTGCACGGAGTTTCAATGAATCCTCTGAGATGTGTTTTCAGTTTGAACGAAAATGGAACTTAGCCCATTTCACCGATTGCTATGTTGTTCTGAGGTCATGTTCTCTCAGGGTCATTCTAAGCTCAGTTCAGGTTCATCAGGAGTGCCTGCAAATTCATCAGCTTTTTCAGCAAACCAATCCAAAATATCATGTTGTAATAAAAAATGAAATACACATTTTTCCTGGGTTTGACCTTTACTGTGAACATTTTTCATAACTCTGCTATGGACTGACAGATTTGTATTTCTGCTTTTCTAAGATTTATTTAACTAACCTTCAGTCACCTCTGTCTTCACATAAAGAACATGTAGACCATGTTTTATGTGACTATTTTATCTGTACAGCTCCTTTAATTCTAGCAGGAAACATTTAATTCATGTTTTGCAACATCTTTGAAGTAGTCTATAAAAAGCCTGCTATTAGAATCCCAGCTACTTAGAGAAGTTGTTGGGTAGCCTGAAAAACTGTTTAATGAAAAAGGTAAATTTGTGCATTTATATTACCTATTTCTTGGACACAGTGAAGTAATTATAACATCTTTGTTTCCATTTCTTGAAAAGGATTTATAGAGGAATTATTTTAAGTGAATTAATGGAACTTCCTATTTTCTAACTTCCTATTGTGAAAATCCATAATGGAACCAGTGAAGGTTTTCATATTCCTGAATTCTGAGGCAGGCTACTTGGCTAACTTTTGCATTAACTCTCTGTGTAAAGGGGAAAGAGAGGGACAAGTTGCTTGAGAGCATTATTTATTCCATCTAACAACAGATCTTGCTTTGAGTTGCTGTTTTGAGGAGCTTCTCCATTTTCATTTGCTGCAAACTGAGTATAGAGAAATAAGCAACATAAACTAGATGTTTAAGGTTGTGATGTGAACACCCCTCACACTTCTCTCTTGCCAGTCAGAGCATCTATCATGCTGTGTTTACTATAATGTTAACATTATGTCCTGTATATCAAGAATTTCCAACCAAGACAGAAATCTCTGCCAAAAATTGACAAAACAGCATTGTACAGGTCAGTTCTGCCAGAAAAATTAGTTGTGGTTATCCTCAGCTGGAAAATGACTTCTTAGAACTTACCTCTCTCCCGTTTCAATCGTACACCAACCTTCATCATTTCTATTTGTACAATCCACTGAACTAACTTGGGGTGAATATTCTGACCCAAAACTTTCTATGATTTGGGGGAGTCTTAAGAATCGGTAGCTCTTTAAAGAGGAGGTGTATCAAGGAAATGGTAATAATGCATTTGTATCAAACTATTGTGCTTTTTTAAAAATTTCATTGCTGTAATGGATGTGTATTAAGTATTAATATAAAGTGTTTTCCCAGCAGTAAGTCAATGGTCAGCGAATTGATTACACAAAAATGTATTTTTCCCGAAAAAGAGATTTTTCTGCTTATTATTCAATGTACTTTCATCACAAATTAAGAAACTGAGCTTTCTTAATTTGAGCTTATTCTTTCCCACTAATGCTGTCTTTAGCAATTGTATGTTCTGTTCCTTAGGAATTAACAGAAGATCGGGATCGATCACGACTGGATTCAATGGTGCTGTTAATTATGAAACTGGACCAGCTTGATCAGGATATTGAGAATGCTCTCAGTGCAGGCTCTTCCCCATCCAGCACCCCAACATACAAACGGAGGCATATACCTGTAAGCCATTTTGCTTAATTTTTCTTATTAATCTAAGGAGAATCTGGTTTTACTTCACTTTTTTTTTTTCTTTCAGTCCTCACATTTAACAGCTCCTTAGTTTCCAAACTAAAAGTCTTTTTGTAAAGAATTTGTTGTGTATTTTTATTTGTATGTATGCTTTCAAGGCAGGAACAGTGGCATCCATTATTTCCTTTTGGTATCATTTCATAAATGAGAAATTCAGAGCTCCTAGGTGAAAGAAAGGGAGATCAACAAGATTCAGACAACGGCTCTCTAATTATTCCTTACTGTAAATGCAGAGTCCGCACAGAGTCAGGATCACACCAGCCTCAGAGCATATGCATATGTGTCATTTAACATTAAATAGTTAGAACTGAAAGTAAGTCTGAGCTACAGGTCTTGCTCTTCTGCTAGTGGGAGGGTCCATGCAATTTTTGCTAGAGAAACACTTATGAAATCCTCTGTCATTCAAAACAAGATTCTGGGCAGATCTTTAATTATTTAAATTTCTTTAAAGACTTTATTTATTTAAAGGAGAGATTTCCTTGCTGAGAGTATTCTGAAGGAAGACTAGACAGCTCACAAACATAATTGATGCGTTCTTTTTTTCTGAAAAATTTTGACACGTGTAGCTGCAAAGAACATGAAATGGCTGACCCAAGGTGTTCTGGTGCAGGCTTCCTGCTAATCTCACCCACATGTGCTGCAGCTGGTTTTCAGTCCAAGAAACCTGAGAAATACTGCCCCAAGATCTCTAGGCTAACATTCCGGTCGTTTGTTTTTGCTAGTGGTATTTCCTTTTAAATAATGAGGGGGTTTTCCTATTACAGCTAGATTTTATTATTGCTGTATAGTCGAGCGAATGGTCTGTAGGTGAGAAAAGCTCTATTTAAGCTTCCATGGGTTGGTCAGTCAAAGAATATGTAATATGTCATTTTTAAAACACATAACATAGTTACACATCTAATAGTTAAACATTTTCCCCCTGGATATGAATCTTCTGGCGGTATCTCCTTGAGCACTGATGGGAGAGGAAAGCTGAAGGACGATGTTAACACCTGTTCTCCACATCTCGCCGATGACTGCCAGCCTCTTAGCTAATTTCTCACAGCAATAAAGGGTGTTGGGGCAACCCGTGTAAGTAAGCCAGAGGTGGTACCTGTTTCCAAAGCAGCCGTCCAGAAAGACAGCTTCCGTCAAACATGGCATATATGCTATTTATATACACTGATTTTCTAGGAATTTTTGAGCCTTTTATTATTATGAATCAGAAGATCAAAAGGTTTAGGCTTTAGGACACTTTTTCATTGTGTTCAGCCTCATATTGATTTTTAGAGTAACAAAGCATTTGAATGTGATGCAAAACCACGTGTAAAGGGGCAGGGAGCGTGGTTCTGCGTTGTGACAGCATGAGTCTGCCAAGCAGGAGCTGCTAAGAGCAGCTGCACGCAAGCTGACTCCTACAGAGGCATTTCCACGGCTCCACTGCTTTCCACAGTGCAGAGGGCTCACTGGTAGGAAATATCTGGCTCAAATGCATGGTCCTACCCAGAACGCAGCTTTGCCACTAATTTCTTAACCCTTTTCGGAAAGCAGCACACTTGTGTACTTGGCGTAGAGGCAGCTGTCTAATTGGCAGCTTCAGTTTGGCAGACCAGAGGTTTAACTAGAATTAATAAATCAAAGCATTGCCTTTTCTTTCCAGTTCAGAGCAGAACCCCTGAGATGCGCCTGCCCCATATTTCACCTATTCTAGGAGCTTGGTGTTAGGAAACTGAGGCTTTGTCTGCACAGAGTTGGCTGGGGTTAATAGTTCAGGCTTTTTTCTGCGTACTGTGTAGCTGTATTCACGCAGGCTGCGCCTCCGCTAATGATCATGACAGTATAGGGCTGGTTCTACACACAGCCAGCCCTTTGCCAGATACGTGTCACAATTTATCTGCAAGCAGCGTAATCCCCTGCCCTCACTCTATGCAGTAAATCAAGCACGTGCTGTATTTTTACTTCCTCAAAAATAAAACATACTAAATTTCTTCTTTCTATTCTCAAAAAAGGAATGTAATCAGTGTCACTGAAAGCAAGGGCGTTTTAACCAGAAATAGCATTTGGCTGATAAGTGTCTGCTGATTCCAGAAAAACTGGGGAGCTATACCTCTGAATTGTATAAACTGCTGGACGGTGATGTCATTTCAGCTGCGTAATGGTTCACAGATGTTCACCGAGCTTGCGACGCTGCCGGAGATAGAAGGTGGGAGCGCAGAGGAAATAACTGAACATCAGAGAAAAATGTCAGACTTCTGCAGCCCTGGACTGATTTTTCTTACCTTGCATACTAACGTTGCAGGGAATTACAGCTTTGATGTTAGTGGTGATTTATAATTTCAGAAGAGCAGCTAATGCAAACCACCGTGTCAAAAAGGACAGCAAATGAATGTGTAGGTAATGGAAAAGAATAAGTGGAATTACTCTTGTAAACAGAATTATGCATATACATTTGAATGAGCCTACCTAAATATTCCACTATTTAGAAGAACTAGATTTTTTTTCGTATTGACATTTACTAAAGAGACTTGCAACACGTTTTTTACAGGATGTTGAATCTGGTTCTGAAAGCGGAGTGGACGTTGCTTCAATAAGTCACTCACAAACAAATTTGTCTCCTTACATCCATCCTCCTGACCCAGCATCTTCCTGCTCAGTAGCCAGCTCTGGAGCTAAACCAAAGGCTGGGGTGAGTACAAAGATTACATTTTTGTAACATCATTCATGATATCAGGTTGGAAGCAAAATAAAGATATTTTGTACTATTCACTACCTGGATTGTAGGGTGTATGTGTGTGATGCTGAAAGAAAGGACTAATAATGGAGGTAGTCACAAGGTGACAATCCCAGAAGTTTCACATCTAGAAACACACGATTATGAGCTGAAGATTAAAAGAAAATGAGTTTTTATGTGAGAAAATAAATTAATGGCGCTTTTCCATTTTACTTTGGAAGATAAGTTTTCGTAAGTGGTATCACCTAGAACTTTCCCTAACTCTCATGGAGGATGCAACCAGAGAAAAAGCTGGTTGAATCACGTAGCCAGATTTCTGATGCCCAAAGCCACTCACCCAAGTCCTCGAGAGGCTAAGCTGTCGCGTTCCGCAAGCAGAGGTGTCACCCTGCCGAAGGAGAATGTCACCGTAAGGCTGGGTTTGGCACGCTGAGGGTTGGAGGGAAGCCTTTGGGCAGGAAGACACCTTCCTGCAGGTGCCAGTGCACAAATGGTGGTGAGCAAGGGCAGGTCTGAGAGCTCAGAGATGGCAAGGAGCTCTTGTTCAGCCGTTAAAAAATGTTCAGTGTAATGTACCCAAAATTAGATTTTCCTTATTCAGCAGTGTACAGGCAAGTCCTCCAAGTTCCATTTCCACCTTTTGGGTAAAATGCTTGAAAGCAGCCAGCGGAGCTGCTTGTACATACTCTTTGGGCACATATTTGATGCACGTTACTGTATTTTACGCCACTGACTGTTGGGAGACCGATTTCTCATGCACTCTGCTATAGAGTGTACTCTTCAGATCAGAGGCAATGGAGCTCTCATCCTTCTGTACCCATCCATAGATACATACACCTGTCAGGGGCACCTTGCTTTCTTTTGCCATTGTCCGTCTACTGAAGAATCCTTCTCCATAATGCTTCAGCCATCAGCATGTGCAGAAAAACCTAGAAGCTCCTGACATAGTTTCTGTTCTCTCTTGAACTTGCTGTTTCCACTCCCTCATGAAGCAGAGAAACCTAGGCTCTTCTAAACTTTACCTAGGCTGAGAAGTCTTAGCATAACTCCTGCCCCATCTGTTCACGAATTCATTTGCTGCTGCTAACCAGACCAGCAGAAAATCTAGGATAAAATATTAAAATATAAAGTGTGGTTAACGTAAATATATATGTTTATAGCAAGTTTATAAAAAGTAAAATAGAAGCCAACTGTCACTTACCACACTGCAATAATAGCAAGTTAACTAATGCCTTCGATTGAGGCAGTAACAAAAGTTCTAATAAACATTTACATTTAGGATTGTTCACTTGTACAAAAATAAATTCACTGGTGATTTATTGTCAGTGCATAACTATAGCAAATAGAGAGCTCTGCACTCTGTCATTGCATACAATGCAGCACAAATTCTCAAATAAGTACGTATGTTACGCTAGAAGGTGATAGCCCATTTTGCCAGATCCTGAGAAGAGCACAGACACTCTTAAGGTATGAAACATTCTTTTAAAATTTCATTTATTCTACTAATATTTGGGGAACTTTTAATGCCTGGCTTTGGAGAAGTGTTCGTGACTACCTTTGGAGTCAGATACCATGTGTTAATTCACTGTTACTAAGTATTTATTTGACTTTTGTCGTGATGGATTTGATTTTTGCGGAACATATCTGCTAATATTGCTTTATTATATAGTTATTAAGTTACATGATTTTGGAGATATCACTTCTTTTTTTTACTTTGTAGAATAACTGTGAATATTGAAAAAATCTCTACTCATGTGTGGGTTGTAGAGCTAAGATCCAAAGTTACCTTTTATTAAGCTTTTTGCTAAGTGAATCTAAGTTTCCTCCAAACTCAGCTCTTTTCCCTAAACTTTTGCATGCTGCAACTCACCACACTCCATAATGGGGTTTGGGGATGGGGTCTTTATAAGCATGTTCAGATAAAAACAGATTTTCATTTTTAACATAGTAGGTTTGATCAGTACACAAACGTGGATCATTTTTACTCGAGTGTAGATCTGCTGCAAACTGGGAAAAACAAGATCTCTGAGATACATTGTATTCCTTTTGGCTTTCGGCTTTCAGCTTGTGGCTCAGAAGGGTACACAGTCAAAACAAACTCAGTGCTGATGTGTGCTGTGGCTTCAAATGATCATCACTTCAGCTGCCTCCCTACCTATGGTGGGCTTTATTTGGAACTCACCAGGAGAAAATAACCCTTCGTTCTTACCCCTGTGTGTCCATATCCCACTTTGTGTTCTGGTCTGCATGGCTCAATAGTCTGCTGCTATGGGACTGCCATCCCTTATTAGTAGCAAATAAGTTCCCATATTCTTCTCATTCTGTTTAGCATTGGGCTTTACTCAGGATGAATTTTCAAGCGGGGCATACTGAACGGCATGTAGTTGAAACACTTCCCAGACCAGACATCGGGTATGTCTCTGTACAGATGATTTCCATGCAGAGGTCACCTGTGAAAATCCTCACAGTGTGGTGTTCTATGTGTGAGGGAGACTGTTGTCATCGTTTCTTCTTTTTTTTTTTTTTTTTAATTTTTGTCAGAGTAGCTGGTGTACGAGCAGTTTTATTCTGTAGTGGAAACTCAGAAAGATACTTTTTAATAGTAATGGACTGTTTCAAAGATTTTACATCCTTTTGGTGTTTGCAACTGCAGATCTTCAAGGATTCCAGATGCTTAGTCTCCAAGGACAACTTACTTTGTTGTGTTTATTAATAATATGTAAACAGGAGTACAACTGCAATTAGTTATGTTATGGAATGATATGTGGTATTTTTAAACAAACTACAGCAAACTGTTGACTGCGTCAAAAGCAGACTGTACAATTAAAATATGACTTCATGTGCAGACTCAGGGGATGGGAATAATGAGGCAGGGAGATATGGGTTCACATCTAGTCCCTGGTAAAGAGCTTGAAAAATATATTAGCTACATAAGGCCGTAACTTACAGACAGGAAATTTGTGTACAGACTAACTATGTCCATTAAAGTTAATTCAGTTTCTTATGGATTTAGAATAAAATATGTAACAACACCACAATATGTGGGAATATCCATAAGCAGAAATTAATTTGATAATCCTGGTGGAAATTATTCATTCATTGGTTTGTGGAAAAGCAGGTCACTTGAAATTTTCATAGGTATTTTATGAAATGTTAACAGGATTTTCAGTAGCAAAGTTGTTCACAATTTTGTTTAAAATTCAGTATCCATTATAATTTTCTTTGCAGATTAATAGCAGACATTCTTTTAATTAAAAATAGTGGACTGTGTATATTTACATAGACAAGTTACTTACCTTTCTACAAAAATTCACTTCTGAATAGTCTAACCTATTCTTGTCAGTGTGAATGCATGTGTACAGCACACATACATATATATAAGCATACACATGCCTGTATACTTTATAAATGCTTATGGGGACCTTATCAATGCTTATAAATATTGGGTGTCAGGAGGACGGGGCCAGACTCTTTTCAGTGGTGCCCAGCGACAGGACAAGGGGCAACGGGCACAAACTGAAGCAGAGGAAGCTCCAGCTGAACACGAGGAAGAACTTCTTCCCTCTGAGGGTGATGGAGCCCTGGCCCAGGCTGCCCAGGGAGGCTGTGGAGTCTCTTTCTCTGGAGATATTCCAGCCCCGCCTGGACGTGCTGCTGTGCAGCCTGCTCTGGGTGACCCTGCTTCAGCAGGGGGTTGGACTGGGTGACCCACAGAGGTCCCTTCCAACCCCGACCGTTCTGTGATTCTGTGATACTCATACAGAGTACTCCTTACTGAACACAGGCATGACGAGGAAGAACCGGATTCTCCCCAGAGCATTATAGAAAGGTATTCCTATGGAAAGTTTTCTCACCAATTCTGCAGGGTGCAGCATGAAAGCCTTTGATGTGCAGATGTACATAGTATTTGGGGCTTATGAAGTATACAGTTGAATAATCTTCATTCTAAAATTAGGAATCTGCCGCTGTTATATTTTGTGGTCAGGGTAAAATAGCGTAATGTGATCTATAGAGTGTCACAGTATAAAAACTAACTCATAACGTACGTGTTTGACAAGGTACACAAATGGACAGTCCTTGTGAAATAAGGATTCGCATAATTGAACAGGTACCTTTCCAACATAGTTTAAGATTGGACAATAAGAAACAGTTTTGGCATCTTTACATTACTTATGTTTACAGAGTAAAGAATGTTCATGCTTCTATAATTAGCACATCTCTATGTTCTGGGGTTTTAGTCACCAGTCTCCAAAACAGACAATAATTTTTTTAATATTAACACTCTAATATATAGACTTGGCAAGCCTTAATCACATGGGAGTGGAAATCAGCTTAAAAAAATATGAAATCAACAGGCTTTTGCCCCAGTGGTCATGAGAAACACTGGAAAATGGGAGTGTCTGGTCTGGATTTGGAAAGCGAGGAATGTAAATATCCTATATGCCTTCTGCAATGTAATGCCACACATCTGGACACTTAGAACATTGTTCAACAAGAAAGACCAGAAAAGATTTATTTTTAAATTTGGCTTGATTATTATAAAAACATCATGTGGCTATAGAGTTTAAAATGTATATTAATAACAAAAGATAAGTTACAATAGCTTTCTCCAGCGCCCAGTTAAGAGCGAACTAGTTAAGGAAAGCTTGAATCAATCATCGTTGCCTTTTTTTTTCCTAAATATAAAAAAACTGGCTAAAGGACAACAGCAACTAAGGCCTAAAAGTTGTGGCCAAATTTTTGTCCTTGAACATCTGCTCTGCAAAGCCTATCTATTTTTGTGTTCAGGTGGAAAAAAAAGCAGCCTTGATTATTTTCTACTGCTTTTCTTGGCGGTGTTATCCCTCTTGCTTCAACAGCGTCCAAGTTAGCCTTCATCACGCTGTGCAGAGGTAATCAGAAATCTATTATCACCAGAATAGCTGGTATCTAGGAGAAGATCGTTTTTCAGATTA